CCGCGCCCGTGGCTCGCGGCCCCAGCCGCTCCGCGGCATATGGGATCCTCCCGGAACAGGGCACGAACCCGTGCCTCCTGCATCGGCAGGCGGACTCCCAACCACTGCGCCACCAGGGAAGCCCTCTCGTAACTCTTTATTTTATTTCTCTTTCTTTCCTTTCCTATCTTTGTTTACATTTCTTTATGAGCTCTATTTTTCATACCATTTTCTCTACCAACAGAGTCAACTCTTTATTATTCCTATAATTTTATATCTGAAAAGGATATGAAGGGATGTAAGATTAGAGAGAAGCAATAGAATGGATGGCCCAAACAGAAGAAAAGCTAACAAAAATACCAGTAGGCATTTTTAAAGAATGTATTGTTGAATTTAAGCTTACATTGAAATCTGTAATTAAAGACTGTAGATGCTTAAAGAAAAACTGGATATTTGAAAAATTAAGAACATCTCAAACACAATGAAACTCATCTGTTAAAAACCTCACTCAGAAGGATAGGAAATGAAGACCAATGTTCCACAGGAACTCAAATGATTCTGCTATCTGCCTTTTAAAATATGAAACACATGTACTCTAAATTTTCTGGAAAGATAACGTATTTTGAAAATTTGTAAAGGAACAGCATTTATTTTGAAGTGAAAAATTCTGTTCCAAATGAAAGTCAACATCTTATACCTAAAATCCATTCCTTCCTCCTCCTCTGCCCCATGTCTCCGTTAATGGAATCAACAATTTCAGAGTCTCCAGAGTGCAACCTCAATCATATCACCTCTGATATCTTTCTCTCATGTTCTCTCTCACATCTGTGCTATCCTTTCCATTCCTACAACTTCCCAGGGCAAGGGAGTCACTCTGGACTCCTCACTTTCTCTTATTCCCTTTATTCAACCCACTGGCAAATCCTTCAAAATATAATCAGAATTTGACCACTTCTCACCACCACCACTGCCATAACTATGGCTCAAGCCACCATCATCTCTCACCTTGTTTATTTTACTGGTTCCCTACCTGGTCTCCTCACTCTTGCCCTAGACCTTCAACATCAGTCTATTCTCAGTAAAGCAGCCTGTGACCATGGTTCTCCTCAGCTCAAAGCTGCTAATGATTTCCTAGCTCAGAAAAAGGTGAAGTCATTATGAGGTCTTTTTTTTTTTTTTTTTTTTCGGTACGTGGGCCTCTCACTGTTGTGGCCTCTCCTGTTGCGGAGCACAGGCTCCTTGCGTGCAGGCTCAGCGGCCATGGCTCACAGGCCCAGCTGCTCCACGACATGTGGGATCTTCCCGGTACTGGGGCACGAACCCATGTCCCCTGCATTGGCAGGCAGACTCTCAACCACTGCGCCACCAGGGAAGCCCCCTTATGAGGTCTTGAAGGACCTGGTCTCACACTCCCGCCACCACCCATTACTGCGCTAGTCTAATTTCCTACCACTCTTCTCATGAAGTCTCTGGTTCAGCGGCTCCAGCCCTACCAGTCTCCCTGCCAGGTGTGCTCTTCCCTTCCCACCCTTTATATTTGCTCTTCTCTCTGCCTGAAATGCTTGTCCCTTACATAATGCATTGTCCATTCATTCCTTCAAGCTTTCTCCCCAAAAGGTATCTTCCCAGTAAGAGTTTTTTTGCCCATTCTTTCTGAAATTTCACCATCCTTCCACTGACATTTCAAATCCTTCTTTCCTATTTTATTTTTCTTTCCATAGCACATACTATATATTTAACTTATTTATCTAGTTTATTGCCAGTCTCCCCAACTGGAATGTAAACTCCACAAGGTACAGATTTTTCTATTGTGTTTTCTGCTATATTCCCCATGTGCAGAAGAGAGCTTGGCACACAGGAGGGGCTCAGTGAATTTTGTCAAATAAATGAACTAATAAATGAATAAAGAAATAAAACAAAACAATGACTCCAGCTTGGGCTCTCACTGCATCTTTCCAGGCCTCCTGCTGGCACTCTCAACCCTCTGTAATCAATCCTACAGACTTCAAATCAATAGTTTACCTCATATACATCTGATCCTATTGCTGCTCAGATTAAGAACCTAAGTGGCTCCCAACTGTCCAGTGATAAACTGCAGTTCTACAGGATGGCATCAATATCCTTCACATTCAGGATATCCTTTTCTAAACTCATCTCTTTATATTCCATTCTTATGTCTTATTCTGTATACCAGGGTCTCCCAAACTTGAGTAATTTATGCTCCTTTTTAAGGGGAAAAATTTTCTCAATGGCTCTTAAGGTCAAATCCAAGGATCCCAGTTTAATAAACACTAGGAAACTGATAATTAAATAAAATAAAAATGTCTTTTAATTACAGATTATTATTGATTAAAAAATCTTTTAATATCATAACCAAAAGGAAAACAAAATTTTTTAAATCTTCATATATCCTGCAGCCCCTGAGAATAAATCCATGGACCCCAGGTACAGAAATGCTGCTGTACAGAAATGAAGCTACCTACCCATCCTGGAAGAGGCCTGTGCTTACCTGCCTCTGTGCCTTTGTTTCTGTTGTTCCTCTACCCTGGAATATCATTCCCCTAACTATAGTTATCAAAATTCTACTTATCCTTCAATGCTTACTTTAATTATCACCTTCTTCATGAGCCCTTCCTTTTAAGATCCTCAGCCAAAACTTACCTTAGTCTCTTGGGGCAATTTTATAAATCTTCTATGGCATTAACTACATTATTCTTCCTTATGTTATACTATTATTTTCCCATGGCTATAGCTCCCAGATAGTGTGAAGATTAACTTGTTCTCTATTTATTTACACAACAACTAGTATAGTGTCTTCCACATGACAACTAATAAATGCCCACTGAATTAATCATGTCAGGAAAAAAAAATGCTACTATAAATATGACCCTCTACTGATCTAAAAAATGGAACTGTTTATTAACAGCTTATAACCAAACATATATAATATACTCATAACAAAAGAGAAAAATGTGGAGAAAAAATTTTGTTATTTATATGATTTACCTTCTTTTAAGCATTAAGTCTGATATAGGTATGCATCTTAGACCAGTTCCCAAAACCATAAGGAAAGATGTCAGAAGCACAGTTATCCGAAGACCTAAAAGGAAACAAAAATATCTGGATTATTTTCTATTTTCTTTTCAAGTAAGTCAATGTTAAGAACAAAGATTTTTTACTCAGTCATACTAGTATTATATTCTAATACAACTTTTCTCTATAACTCCCAATATGGGGAAAAAAAACCTCTCATGCTGAAAATGAAATGATTCTAACTTTAATAGAAAACTTGAATGATCACATCGAGGATAGAGGAAAAAGTTCTATTAACTCCGGTTTTTCAAAATGAATGGCTAGAATGCTTTGTTCAGATATAACAATAAAAAATATAGAAAATAATTTTAAAAGATAAGGTATTTTAGTTTTATATCTCAAATATAAAATTTCTAATTTTCGAATGCAAACTGTTAATTAAAAAATTCTAAACTGCCCCTGAAAAGTTTTTTCAGATGATAGAATGCTTTAAAGTTTCTCAAAAAATGACAAGTGGCCAATTACTTCTTTTATCTTATAATGAGAACAAGTTTGTTATAGGGTCTTAGGAGATGGTCCATTAGAACCCTCTGATTATTAATACAATAATAGTCTTTTAATTTTTCTTGATTCATTGGATGGCTTTCAACTTATAGAATGATGCTGTTAAAAAAAAAAAGCATGGTTTAGGGTTTTAGATAATGTGGATCAGATAGCTTTGTATTCCAAATACAATCAATTATTTTGAAAACATGCATCAATGGTCGGTTACATGGATAACAGGGCAAAAGAGAATATAAAATATAAAAACAGGGTAACCACGTGTAAAATAGATAGCTAGTGGGAAGCAGCCACATGGCACAGGGAGATCAGCTTCGTGCTTTGTGTCCACCTAGCGGGGTGGGATAGGGAGGGTGGAGGGTGAAGGGAGACGCAAGAGGGAGGGGATATGGGGATGTATGTGTATGTATAGCTGATTCACTTTGTTATAAAGCAGAAACTAACACACCATGGTAAAGCAATTATACTCCAATAAAGATTTTTTAAAAAATTAAAAAATTAAAAATAGAATGTGAAAAAAAACTAAGGTAACCAAAAATAGACACAATAGTCTATCTATGGCAGAATAATATAACAGGACTACATCTTCCTGCTGTTGGAATGCTGCATTTTTCTATTACTAAATCAATGCTGCCTTACTGCTTGTAGCAGTCACAGAGGTGGCTTACACTGAGTATGTGGCAAAGGTGGCAACATTTCTTACAATTTTTCCCAAACTCAGCACCTCCTTGAAACCATTTCACAGTGAATAGACTTAAACTATTTAATGCAAATGTTCTCTTTTTTTTTTTTCAGATCTTTCTTTTTTTTGGCAAGGGGAGATGGTTAAATGTTTGGTTTTCAAAGGGCTTCTCTGCTTGAAGGAAATTGGAAGTCAACAAAACTATAATTATGCAGATTAAACACAGCAAGGAAAATAAACTTGAGATTCAGATCAGGCACACACACGCTACACTGAGGGTAATTTGTGATATGAACTGAGCTTTATATGATCTGAATATGATTAATATAATTTGGCAGAAGTAATCCGGTAGAAAACTGTGCTTCTCAGGAACAAGTAATGCATACATACTGCTCATTTACTGTGTCTACTAACAGAACACAGATTTTAAAACCACATTATAGCCACAGGAAATAGAGTGTAATTAATAAAAAGAACATTCATGGTCATAAATATCCTAAACTTGCAAAACGTTGCTCTTATAAGGTTATACTGGGTGCCCTATGAGATAAAAATTTTATAGATTTGGGATTATAAGGCTTACATTCTACATGATGTTTATTTTTTTCTAATATTTGGTTTGTAATTAAGGTAAACAGCCACCAAGTGGGCAGTGGGACCCTGTTTATGGCCCTACGGTCCAAATAACTAGGTTCCATATTACAACTGCTGAAAGCTAGCACACTATTTTACTCAATTATGACTTTTATCAAACATATGACAATATAACAGCTAATATAAACTTTTAAGAATAAAAAAGTTGTGAAAAGCTGATTATTATAAAGCAACCTTGCAGGTACAACTTGTGGCTTGCTTACTTTTAATTGTTGCCAAGTATTACTTAATCCACCTCAGCTGCTGCTCAGTTTTGAATAGAATGCTTTCTTGATCTCATTTGGATTTTGACAAGGCAGGACTCTGCAGTTCCATGTAATCAAAAAGATAACAACTGACTTTGGGAAGGAGAGGTATGAGGAGACCCCAGGAAAATATGCTTATGAGACATCTAGGACCTTCATATAAATAGATCCCAAGTGATTACAGTACTAGGATGTGAGTGCAAAAACCATCTGATGAAAGGTATGGGAATAATTTCAGAAAACCAAACATGATTGAAAATAAAAATAAATTCTACTCAAATATGGCATCCAGACTCTGCAGGAAGCCGCCTTCCAATGGATGAGATAACTCCTTATGCCAAGAACCTATTGGGTACAGGAAAAGAGTCTCTACAATCGGTGCCTAAAAACATGATGGCAAAAAAAAAAAAACCCAAAAGCAAAAAAACACCCCACCACACAAACTACGTGTAGCAGATGCATGGAAATGAGTTTGATCTGCTAAAATCACCCTTCCCAGGCCCCACACTTCCATCAGCTGGAGTGAAGCTCTGCTTGCGCCTGGCAAGACCACCTGTCCCTACCCTCAACAGCTACAGCCTGGCGTCCCCGATCTGCCTTGGACACCAGGAGGACTAACCACATCATGCCTGCTTTTCCTGTTCACATTGGTCACAAGAGACCCAAGATTCACAGGTCATCCTCGTCCCAACAGGGCTTCATGCATACCCAAATCTGACCTCATCTCTGCCAGCGCCTCAACTCCCCAGATCTTTCCACTGTGACTCCTGGAGCGCTCAGAATCAGCGGATCAGTAGAATCCCTATATTTTCAAGCTCTTCACTGTCTTCACCTTTTTACTACTCTGAAACCTCTTCCCTGAGGACAGTGCTTCCCCAGCCCCTTCCAGATCATTGTTACTCCCTCCTCACTAAAGCTCCCAGGCTTCTCTCCATGCCTTGATTTCCTCTGGTTTAAGCACTATGATTACGAGGTGCCTTGCTGTAGTGTTATGCACGCTGAGATTTGCTTGGTGTGGTTTTTTTCTTCATGCTGTTTCCTCAAACTGGATTCTTGAATTTCTTAGATTTCTGGGTTTATGGATATAATCAAATGTGGAAATTTTTCTGCCATTATTTCTTCAATTTTTCCTCCCCATTTTATCTCAATCCATGCACTCTCCCTTTACCAATCTCTTCTCATCTGGAACTCTAATATGTATATTAGGCCACTTAAAACTGTCCTGCTCCCTGATACCTGTGGTTTTTTTGGTTTTTTTCCTGTGTTCCACTTTGGATAGTATTTATTACTACATCTTCAAGTTTGCTAATCTTTTCTTCTACAATGTCTAATCTGCTCTTAAATCCTGTCCAGTGTATTTTTTTGGTCTCATACACAGACTACATTTTCATCTCCAGAAATTTAATGTTGGACTTTTTATGTCTTCCATGTCTCTCCTTAACATGCTTTGTTCTGTCTTCTTGAATATATGTAGTATATTTATTCACAGTAGCTGTTTTGATGTCCCTGTCTATTAATTCTATCATCTGTGCCATTTCTTGGTCTGTTCTACTGATTGCTTTTTCTCCTCTTTATGTGTTGTGTTTTCCTCCTTCTTTGCACGTTTGGTAATTTCTGATTTAGATGTCAGGAATTCTGAATTTTGTTGGGTGATGGATTTTTGTTTTTCAACTCCTTTAAATATTTTTGAACAATGTTCTGGGATACAGTTATTTTTAATCTGTTCAAGCAGTACTTTTAAGCTTTATTAGGTGGAACCAGAGAAGCCTTTAGTTTAGAGCTCTGTTTGTCTTTACTGCCGAGGCAACACCCTTCTGAGTATTCAACCAAACTTCCTATGTATTATGAGGTTTTCCCATTCTGGCTATTGGGAATGTGAACAATTCCCAGCCTTATGTGAACTGCGAGAATTTTTCTGCCTGTTCCTTTTTCGTAGTCCTTTTCTCAGACTTAAGTAGTTTCTTCATGTGTAACTGCTAATCAGTGCCCAGCTGAAGACTCAAGAGGAACTCCCTGCAGATCTAGAACTCTCTCTCTGCGAACCCTTTTCCTCTCTGGTACTCTACCCTAAAAATTCTAGCTATGGTGGCCTCTTAAGACTTCTCAACTGTCTCGTCGACTTGGGAAAACTGTGGGGCTCTGTTTGAACTATAGATCTCTGTGTGAAGTAATCGTAAGGATCACCAACCTCTACCTTTTGTCCAATGTCTGAAAACCACTGTTTCGTATACTTTGATTTTTTCTGTTTTTAGTTGTTTAAGATGGAAGGATAAATCCAGTTCCTGTTCATCCATCATGGCCAGAACAGCCTTTGATCCAATTCTATCTGACTGTCATACTCACCACTCCCTGCTGCAGCTGTCTGCAGACCACCACATACCTGCCTCCACGTCATTCGCCCTCATGGCTTGAAACTGTTTTGGCTCCGTTATTACTCCTGAGGACACTACTTCTTTCATGAATCTGGTGATTTCAAACCAGATATGATCCTTTCAATATCCTGCCCTCTCAGTCCCCTGACTTCTTATTCCACAATCATGCCCTCTACCCTACCTCGGTTGTCCACTCTCTTTGTTATACTCTGACCTTATCTTTACCCTAATTGCGTCCACGACATAATCCCAATTTCAAGCGTCCCATTCTTCAACCATGACCTCCTCTCCTTCCCACTCATTCCTTCTAGTACTCTAAATTCTTCATCGATTGGGAATGACGATTTTGGAGCCTTCTACTTTTTCTTATCTACCTCAGGTGTTTCCTTTTCTTCTTTAACCAGTTTAGATTCCACGGTCCACTGTTATATCACTCTCTACATAATCCTCTACTCCTGGCCTGCACTCTCTTAGTCCTACACACCTGGCAAACCGCAACCCTGGTGATCTCTCTCTCTGCCAACTCTGCCCATGCCTGTGCTTGCCCAACAGAACAGGCTGGAGGAAAACAAACGGCCATGCTGATTGGTCTCACTTGAAATTAATGCCCAGACACTTAAAGCAGGCCCTCTGAGCTGCCTGACAATCCCACTACAATTTTCTAGTCCGTGTGTTCTCTCCTTTCCTAGGAACTAGTACTACAACTTATCGTGTCTCCTCAATCTTCCAAGAATTGTTCTCCTATCCTCACTGTCAGGTGGTAATTTTGCTTTCTATTTTCTGAGAACTGTAAACAAAGATAACTCCCACAAGCTCCTACCACCCACCATGTGCATCCATATCTATACACTCTACGTTTTCTTCTGTTGCTACTGAAGAATTAGCTGTCGACACTTCTATCTAAGGCCAACCTGTCTACTTGTACTCTGGAGGACTGTATCCCATTTTGCTTAGTCAAGGGCATGGCTACAGCAGTTCTTCCCCTTCCCGACAGCATTGTCAATTTCTCCCTTTCTACTGGATCCATTAGGATACTGCATTCCAGAGATACGCTTTAGTATCTCTTATCTTTTTTTCTCTCTCTTTTTTTTTTCTTTCTCTCTTATCCTTAAAAATACTTTCTCAGTAGCCACATTCCCCCTGGCTACTCCCTCATTTCTCTGCTGCCCCTTACAGTGTGTTTGACATAATGTCTACACTCGTGAACTCACTCCCACCACTCCAGTGAGACTATTCTTTGAAAGGATACCAAAGATTTCCATGTTGCTAAACCCAAGGCTCTACTCTCAGTCCTCACTAGCTGGTTCTTCCTTATCTTCCCAAGCTCTGAATGTTGGAATGCCCCTGGGCTCAGTCTTCTGAAGCAAGATCCCTCTCCACAGGTGATCTCACTCAGCTCCAAGACTCTAAATACCATTATATGTTGACAAATCCCAAATTTATTGCTCAGGGAATAAACTGACAGTTTAGCTTGTCCTATATCTAATAGGCATTTCAAATTCCTGATCTGCATGCCGGCTACCCCCAAATGCTCCTTCCACAATATTCTACATCTCAGTAAACTGCAGCTTGGTTCTCCCAATTACTAATGCTAAAGAAGTTGAGAAACATCTTAAATCTTCCCCTTTTCTCACACTCCACCTCTGCCTATCCATCAACAATACTCAAATCCTTCACTACTATCACCCCAGTTGGAAGTCAGCATCAGCCCCATCTCAGCTGTTCCAACAGCCTCCCAACCAGTCTCCCTGCTCTGGCTCTTGTTCTCAAGACAATAGCAGAGTCATCATTTTACTCTTCTGCTCAAACCTTCCAGTGGAGTGAGCCCTCCTCACTCCTTCAGGCCAGCGTCCTTACAGTGACCCAGGAGGCCCTGATTTCAGCCTCTCAGCACCTCTCTGGCCTCACCTTCTACTGTGGTTTCCCTTATGGCTCAACTCAGCCACAGAGGCCTCATTGCTCTTTCTCGAATATGCCAAACAAGTTTAAGACCTTTGTCTTTGTCCAAAACAGTCCTGTCCAGAATTTACAAGGTATGTTTCCTTTTCCTCTCAGGTCTCTGCTCAAACACACATTATCAGTAAGTCCTTCCCTGACAGTCTAGAGAGAGTATCACCCAATCACATCCCCTTTCTCTCTTGCCTTGTTTCAGTTTCCTCTAAAACATTTATCACCATCTGACACACTAAATATTTAATTTTATTGTTGTTTTTGCCTGGATCTCCTCATCTCCTTGTTCAAATTTTCTTCACTAAGCTTCTAGGGCACACTCACTTTTGGTCTCCTATTATCTCACTAGGTAGTCCCCTTTTATCTCCTTCCTAGAAAATGAAAAGGACTGAGAGGGTACAAAACCAATTTCAGAAAGATAACTGGTCTTCTACTAAGTTGGGTGGACCCATGGCAGCAGGAAGACCAGACCTATCCTCTAGGGAGAAAGATACTTTAGTACCCAGGGATACCAGGAACTTACTTTTATGTATGCAAATAGGACATAGGCAGCAGGACAGCCAACATATGGAAGGAAAATGGCTTTCTCCTACTGAAGAGGAAAACACTTCCTAAGTGAGAGAATTTTAAATTTATTTTTTGTTGCTGTAACTAACAGAAAACATAAAATAGAATTCACCATATAGTCATAGAAACTCTGAAAGAACTCCTAAAGTAACTTATTTTATAAAGAGAATAGGTAGTTCCTAATTTATCTGGGCATGGATAGTAGATATAATTATAATAAAAAGGACAAAATTAACATTTTTGTACCATAAAAACAAGGCTGGCTAAATTTAGGGAATAATATTGAAAAATGCTCCTGATAAAAAGTTAATAAAAGGAAACAATAAAATAGCATTTCCCCTTAAGTTATCCAACCTTGTAAGGAATGACAGAGGAACTGTCACAGATTGAAGGAGATTAACAAGAAATAACAACTAAATGCAAAATTTGGGACCCTCGACTGAATCTTGGAACAGGAAAAAAAAAAGACACTAGTGGAAAAACTGGTGAAATCCAAATAAAGTCTAAATTTAGTTTAAAAACAAACAAATCCAAACAAAGAAAACCTCCATTCAGTACAAGAAACCCTTCCTCAGCATCTAGCACATATCTCTGCCTAAGTACTTGCTCTACCTGGAAGTTCCACACCTTCCAGGGCTGGACACTTTCATTGTTAGAAGGTTCTTCCCTGTATCCCTTTGAGTTACAGCCCTTTGTAACTTCACTCAGTTTAGTTCTTCCTTCTAGAACTATGCACATTAAGCCTAATTCCTCATTTACTTGGTCTTCACATATTTATATTCTGCCTCAAGTTTCTTTTTGAAGCTTGGCACACCCAATTCCCTTCATCTGACACATTATGATTTTTACATCCTTTACATTCTTGTCACACAACTTTTAAAGCTCTCCAGTTTGCCCATGGCCTTCTAAAAATTAACGCTCAGAACTGAACACTAGAATAGAGCATTTCAAACTATTTCTCTTGTTTTAGATACTACACTTCTGTGCCTAAAACTGTCCTGCACTTTTTAGCAGTTACATCACATTGATCATGAATCATTTATCCATACTTGTGTGGTGTAATTCTATGCCTAATCATTCAATCCTGTGACCTTTTTTTCTCCTCACAGAATCATACTGGCAAGTGGTAAAGTGAGATGTCTGTCCAGAGTATTCTCTATGAAAAGAGAGTCTTCATTCATCTGCAAGCTTCATCTGAGAGTTAAAAATCTCAACTGACACTTGCACCTAGTCACATACACACACTTTAAAGCTGCTGTGCACCATTTTCAAGAACCATTTTCCAGAAACCAAAGCGTCAGATCCGAGTTCCCCAACCAGCTCTTCCTGGGCTTGAGTCATCTATTATGCAAAGCCAGCTCATTACTTCCCTGTATCTGAGCATCATCAGTCTATTTTCTGACCCTTCACCCTCAAAATCCCCAAATCCCTTTGAAGTCAAAGCATCAGTCATTTTTGTCAGGTGTAAAAAACACACATAGCACGTGCACGGGGATGCTCTGATGTCCAAATATGCAAAAACTTGAACATTTAGAGCTCGCTTAATCCCTGCTGTTGCATAATTGGCCTTGATGAAAACATAGTATCTACAAAGAAGCCTTCCCTCATTTGTCTCTTTGGGGACAGAGTGTTCCTAGTCAGGAATGGAATGCCAGCAACATTCGGTCACCTCACACAACCCCTAAAACGAAGCCGAGGGAGGCGGCTCCCCAGGAGTGACATCGCTAGCCGGCGCTCCCGGGACCCCCTCACCTCTCTTGTCCAGGAGCCACATGAACGCGAAGCAGGGCATGAAGCCGATGGGCCCCCAGAGCACGAGGAGCGCGATGTCCCAGCTAGAGAAGCCGTAGGCCTGGCGCGCCGAGTTCTGGATGGGGCCCCAGGTGTTCCAGACCAGGCCCTGCACGAACCCCAGCAGCGAAAAGAGCAGCAGCACGAGCCAGCGGCGCCCGTACACCCTCCCGGGACTCGGGACTGCCGCGGGCAGCGCCGCCGCCGCCGCCGCCGCCTCCTCCCCCCTGCTTCTCCAAGCAGCCCCCGGCGCAGGCCCGAGCCCGGGTCCCAGCAGCGGTTGCCGCTCCTCCTCGCTGCTCCAGCCCGAGCCCATTACGACGCGCGGCCCGCGGGGCCGCTGCCCAGCGCGGATACTGTCAGAGAAGGTGGAGACCGAGGTTGCTTTGGTGGCCCTCGGCCTCGTGGCCGCGTTGCTGCGCCTGCGCCGCGCGAGCCGGCCCCGGTCCGGGAGGCGGGGCAGGTGAGACGGGCGAGGAGGGGGCTGGGGTGCGGGAGCCGGGCTAGCCTCTCGCCGGGCGGTGGAGAGAAAACCTCGGCGAAAGAGGGAGTGGAGCCAGTGTCCCAGAGCGGGGATCGGGAGGAATTGGGAAGGCAGGGAGGAGCGCCGCTGAGCCCCAGGAAAAGGAAACTCCCGGAGGGGCTGTAGTACAGGAGCCTGGGCTAGGAACCCGGTATTGCTGGGGGAAGTGTACAAGTTTACGTCCTGTGCCTAATAAACAACTCGGAGATCTCCAGTCACTTAAGGCATATATTGCTTGCTTCTACATTGGGTTTATTCTCGTTTCTGTTGCGTTTATAACTTCATAAATTAGAGAGGGAGATAGGATAAGATTTAGGCGTAGTAGGGAACCCAGAGGATTGCCGCATGAAAATCATTTGTTTTTTATGTACAGTAAGTACAGCCCTGTTTAATCAGCCATTTTTTGTGTGCTTTACATACCCAATGAGGAAATTAAAAACGAGTCAATTTCATTCATGTATATATACGATATAGATCTCTTTCTACTCTTTTGCCTGTTATTAACAGAAGAGCAATAAAGATATTTTGATTAAAGCTGAAAGATTTTTGCCCCCAAATGACCTAGATTCATCTCCAGTTATTATAATTTTGACTACACGAAGAGTAAACGAGAAGAGTGGAGGTTGTCGATCTCTTGACCAAGCAACCGGTTATTTTGATATACAAATCCAAAAGCCTGACAGCTGTCGGTTAGTGTCCTTGAAAACCTAAGTCAAGCGATTTGGCTTGTTTTGGTCGGGAAATGAGTCACAGGCAACTCAATTAAAGAACATGTCCCTAAGGTTCACATTGCCCGGCAGCCACGAAAGCCAGGTGGATCATTTTGCTGCCAGAAGGGCAAGAGTCGGGAACAGAACGGGAAGAGAAGCGTGAGCTCTCCTGATATCCAAGGCTAAGAGCGACTGCAGAGTACGCAAACGCAGAGCCACTTTCCAATGTTCCGAGCCCCACAAAAGAGCAAACCATTCCCTAAAACTCCAATACTGTTGGGAGGAAGAAAGCGCCAAGGCGAAAAGGAAGGACTTGAGGAAAACCAGAAAAGAAGCCAAGAAAAGTCTACACCGGAAGACGATTACGGTCTGGGGAAAGTAAACAGCACCACAACCGCGGCCACGTGCTTACATTTCCACCACTCAAGAATCAAAATAAACCGCGTGGCCCCGCCCAGTGCCCGTCACGTGACTTTCCCGCGCGTGCCGCTTCCGGAAGAGCCCGGTAGCAGCCGCTGCGACTCTTTCCTGTGCTGCGGCTTCAGACCCCGGGTTTTGGCTTCTTTCTGACCCGGCTCCCGCTCCACTTCACTTTTGGGTTCGGGTGGAGCCCGTGTAGTGATCTCCATGGCAGCAGACTCCGGGGCGTTCACTAATGAGGACTCTGAATCTGGAGAGGAAGAAGGTAGGTGCTAGGCAGAACTCAGACCGTGAGTACAACGCTGTGCCAAGTGACTCTTGGCACCTCTCATGTGGCCTTTTGTCCCTTCGGCCCTGCAGTATGCTATGAGGAAAACTATTTGCTTTCTACTGAACGTGGCTTTTTTCAAATTGTAGCACCCTGATTTTTGATCATCTATAGGTCCAGTATCCCTACATCCTGCCAGTGCTGTTTCACACATGAGGGTGTTGTGACTGTTACAGTGGATTGAACCACCCTTGAGATAAGTGGAGATATCTGGGACTTTTGTGAACAGGAGTATGATTTCAGTGGAATCCTGATTTAGAGAACGGATGAAGTTTGAAGGCCGGTGAGCCTGAGATCCCTGTTAGCATTTATTGAATGATTGCACCATGCCTGGCACTGTTCTGGGTACTGCCATGGGATCCAGAGACTTTTGATTGTATATAACAATGCCTTTTCCCGGTTGAGTAGAGGGGCCTGGAAAGGAAAAAGAATGACTAATGCCTGGTAACGTGAATACTGTTAGTAGTGCACACTGAAAAAGTCCTGGGCAAATTGATGACATTATAAAATGAAAATGGTCAACCTCTTGAGTATTCACTCAGTATGGGCCTGAGATCTTTCTGATCCTCTGTTTCTATAGTAACCTTACTTTCTTTCCCCAATGACAATTCCCCAAACTCTTTATATCCTCTCTTCATCTCTTCCTCACTTCTAGCTGATGACTTTGCACGTCAGGTCAACTCTGCATCTAATCTGTCTACTTTTTTCCTCCTTCTCTATCACACCTTTGTCAACATCATCCACATTTCTCACCTAAACTACTACTGTATCTTCAGGCCATGTGTCCCCATTTCCTTTCTTGTGCCCCTCCAATCCCTTCTCCATTCAGTGGCAAAAAGTGACACTCTCTTACTCAAAATTCTTCAGTGAAATCCATTGCACTAAGAACTTAAGTTAAAATCCAAACTCCTAACCACGGCCTACAAAAATCCTCGGTCTGGGTTCTGCTGATGTCTCCAGGAGCATCTCTTGTCATTCATCACCCCCTCTGCTCTTACCTGCTTTTCATATAACTGACTTCTCAGTCTTCAGATTTTAAGGTATGTCACCACCTGAGACCTTACCAGATTAAGCTATCTAAAACTGTCATCGAAGTTTTCCCCGACCCTTAACCCTAGATGTTTTATAATACGGCATCCTGCTTCCTTCATTTCACTTATCACAATCTGTAATTACTTGTTTATTATCGTTTCTTCCCTTAGACCTTAAGTACCTTGAGGGCAGAACATATATCTGTGTTATTTACAGTGTTTGCCCAAGCAGCAAATACAATGTCAGGCGCCTAGGGGGCACTTAATACTTATTTGTTGAGTGAATGAATAAGAGAACCCCGTGCCAAGTCCAGAGGCAGGAGGAGAAAGAGCATGGCATAGTCCAGGAACTGAAAGAAGTTGGTGTAAGGAATGTAAGAGACAGGGATCCTGAAGGGCACCTTATACCAAGTTAAGGAGTCTGACAGTGTGAAGCCTTTGAGGAGCTTTAGGTGGGGGAGTAATGGGGGAGTAACACAATAAGATTTGGTTTTAGGAAGATCACTGCGGCTGAAGGGTGGAGGATAGCTTGGAGGAAGAAAGACTGAAGGACAAGGTACTTAAACACCTTAGCCACAGCATCCTCCTCTCTAAAGTGCGTAACTATTGTGAAAATTAAAGATACTTGTAGATCATCTAGCATAAATGTCTGGCAGGAATTACATATTCAATAATGGTAACTATCTTTATTGTTAATAAAGAGTGCTGGCATTGGTGACTGACTGATGTTGAAACTGAGAGAAAAGAAATTGGAAATATCTGTGAAATTTTTCAGCCTGAGAAACTACATGTAAATTAGGAACCTGAAGAAGAAGGAGGTGGTTGGGAGCACTGTTGAGTTTTAATGTGAATGCATAGCATTTAGGTTTGGGAGGATGATGCAAAAGAAGATGTTAAGCATGTAGCCGGGGAAGAGGAGGTGTTTATTCTTTATTCAAATACCATAAATTCACCCTTTTAAAATGTTTTTTAGTATGTTCACAAAGTTGTGCAGCCATCACTACTATAATTCCAGAACATTTTCATCACACCAAAAAGAAACCTGCTTCCCATTAGCAGTCACTCCCCATTCATCCTCTCTCCATCCCCTGGCAATCACTAATCTACTCTGTCTCTATGAATTTGCCTGTTCTGGGCATTTCATGTGAATGGAATCATACAATATGTGGCCTTTTGTGTCTGGTTTCTTTCACACAGCATAATGTTTTCAAGGTTCATCTATGTTGTAACATGTACCAGTGCTTCACTACTTTCTGTGACTGAGTAATATTCTGTAGTATGGATATGCCATATTTTGTGTATCCATTCATCAGTGGGCATTGGGTTTCCACTTTGGGGCTGCTATGAAGAATGCTGCTATGGACATTTGTTTACAAGTTTCTGTAGGAACATATGTATTCAGCTTTTCTTGGACATATATCTAAGAGTGGAATTGTTGGGCTATGTGGTAATTCCATATTTAACTTTTTGAGGAAACTGGTGATCCTTAATCTTGAAGTCTTAAGGAAAACTGATGAAAGTATGGATTTGCTCCCCTGAACAATATAGCATGTGTACACATTTTTGCAGGTGACTTCAAATTTTTGTATTAAAGGATTCTCCAAATCCTATCTGTGGAACTTTCAACCCCATTTTAAACGGTCATCCTCCCTAGAAAAACCACTTTGGGGTGACTACTTATTACCATTACAAAGTAAGTTAAATGGGCAAAATCCTACTGGAAGAGAAGACTTTGCTTTAAATCAGATAAGGCTTATGTGAATAAAGGGTAAGAAAAATACATACATTAAATAAATGCACGTGAAAGTTTCACTTTGTTTAGTATAGTAATGAATATTGTGGGGGTCATAGAAAAGTTAATTTTTTGAGCAAACTTATTACCACTCCATTATCAAAAAATATTTGAATGTACACTGTGAACAGAGACTCTTGTACAGTGAGGTTAAAGACAGTTCTTGCTCTAAAATACCCTATAAATATACTTTTGGGGAAAAGAACACAGATTAAAAGACTTGTAGTATAATACACATTCTCATGGCAGGAGGCAGTTAGATGGGCTGTAAATATTACACACATTACATGCTTTGGGTGTGAGAGGAGAAAGAACGAATACAAATTGGATTGGTCTGTGCTTCTGAGAGTAATTTGAAGGTTTGGTGTACAGTCCTCACTCTGCACACAGCCTCAGGTCCCACAGGCCCACTCTAAAGGACTTGAGCGCTCAAGAGTTCTGGTATATTCAGGGGTCCTGGAACCGGTCCCCCTCGGATGCTGAGGGACAACTGTAGTTTGAATATGGAAATGAATGGAAGAAGTTGTTTCTGGCAAGGAGAGGCCAGGAGTGGAAGTGAGTGGAGAAAAGCCCAAGGCACATAGAGGGCAGAGGGTGGGGAAAAAAGCGAGAAGACAGACTGGTGCTACTGGAGTGGAATGTGCAGGGTACACAGCTGAAAGGAGGAAGATTATGTCCTTGGAGACCAGAGAGGAGCAGGGTGAACCAGAACCTTGAAGTGAAGAAGGAAGTTGTGGGTTTCACTTTTCTCAGAAGAACAGGGTAAGGCACCACCCTGAGTGAGGGAGTGGAGAGAGGTATTGGGGATTTGAGAGTGCAGAAGCTTTGTCAAGTTGCTGTTGGGACAGGGGTGATTAGGAGTCAATTAGTGGCAAATAGTGTGATCGGGAGTTGGAGAGGGAACCAGTGGAGGTGAGCGTGAAATCGGGAGTTGGAGAGGGAACCAGTGGAGGTGAGCGTGAAATCGTGGAACTGATCCCTTTGTTTTGAGACTGCCGTGAGCATGCTCAATAGTTCATTTTACAAAGGTGGAGAAAACAAATGGTTAATCTTAGTAAAGTTTTATGCATTGTTAAAAATGAGCTGTGAATTCAGAAAACATTTATTTGGTGTTAGTTTATGCCAAGCTCTATGCTAAGCTCTATGGATATCAAAGTAACAGGTTTGCTTCCAAGGATGTGATTTTTTTTTTTTAACTGAAGTATAGTTGACGTACAATATGTTATTTTCACATATATTACATAGTGATTTGACATTTGCGTGCATTATGAAATGATCACCACAATAAGACTAGTAACCACCTGCCCCATACAAAGTTATTGCAAAATTATTGACCATGTTCCTTATGCTGTATATTATATCGTTGTCATGGCTTATTTATTTCATAACTGGAGGTTTGTACCTCTTAATCTCTCCTTCACCTTTTCTCCCCCACTCACACCTTCCTCCCCTCTGGCAAAACCACCTGTTTGTGCTGTGTCTATGAGTCTGTTTTTGTTTTGTTTGCTTGTTTGTTTGTTTTGATTCCACATTAAGTAAAATCATATGGTATTTATCTTTCTCTGTCTGACTTGGCATAATACCCAATAGATCCATCCAGGTTGTTGCAAATAGCAAAATTTCTCTTTTTTTTATGGCTGAATAAAATTCCATTGTATGTATGTGTACCACAAGGATGTGTTATTTTTTTTGTCTGAAGTAACACAGCTTGGAAATTATTAAAAACAAACATGAGTAAGCAGAGCACAGAGGATTTGGGGGACAGTGAAAATACTTCGTAGGATATTGTAGTGTTGGATATATGTCATTATACTTTTCAAATCCATAGACTGCGCAACACCAAGAGTAAACCCTAAGATACACTGTGGACATTGGGTGATTATGATGTGCCAGTTTAGGTTCATCTTTGGTGAAAAATGTACCATTCTGGTGAGTAATGTTGATAATGCGGAGGCCATGTATGTATGAGGGGAGGGGGTATATGGGAACTTTCTGTACTTCCCCCTAATTTTGTTTTAAACCCAAAACCACTCTTACGAAAAGGGACTTAAACAAAAATGAAACTACTTACTGTTAAGAATCAGCTCAAATTCTGAATGTGAGATGTTACTTCT